CGTTAAAAAACTAATTTCATTTTAAGGTAATCTTATTGTCAAGATTTTCCACGGTTTTATAAAAGGCTCCCTGCCTTCAAATTTCGGTGTTGGAAGGGAAGGGGGTCAATAATTTTTTTTTATACAATCTATTATATTTTCACTGTAGTAATCGGATTATCGCAAAAGGCAAAGCTAGCTATAGACGGTAGAAAATATAGCACGATGGTGTTGACTATAAATAGCAATCTGTTTCGATTATTCCGAAGGGATTAATATTGTAATTAAGCGATTCCTTTTGTGTACCTAGAGATAAGTAATGACAAATTGTAGACAATGAACAAATTACAACGTCAATTTTCATTAAAAGAACTTACATGACGTCCCTCCCGCTATCAGAACGGCCATCAGCATAATCGATTAATAAATGAATTGCTTCTTGATTATCTCGTTCTAAACAAACGTGAGCAGAACGAAAGGAGGAGTTGTATAATTGTATATAAGCTGTATACAATTGAATGCTAATTTAAATTTTCAGCTTTCAGACTAAACTATGCAGGAATAGCACGATAGTACGAATATAATGCCGAAAACCTGAAAGTTTCTATATTCCATTGGCGAGATTTCGATCGATTTATAAAAAGCTTAAAAACGCCCGAACAGCCGACAGTAACAAGTTCCTTTTTGAGGATCAAGAATGCGCTACAGCACTAGAATTCGGGACGATACAAAAATCTTGCAGCTTTCAATTTTTTAATAGTTCGCTAATATAGACCAACAATAACTGATTTACAGAAACAATTTATTTCAAAATTCAAAGACTTCAGAGAAAACGGACCATACCTTGAAAATAGTCTTCGTATTGCTACTTTCGAGATACAAGACATTTAGAAACTGGTTGGAAATCCAAAATCTCATCAAAATGTATTTTTAGAGCATTTTCCAACGCATCTTGGAAGGCGGTATTGTGGTCACGTTCTCCGTCCATCTGTTCCTCGGTTCGTCTGAGACCTTAACTACTCCTACAGTTTTCAGGATATTTCGTTCGCTTTTTTTTGCATTCGGTAGCTTATTTATAGCTCTCAACCAAGAAAAATCTTGTCGATTAATATGCACATGCGCGGACTGTGCAATGTCAACTTTCTCATTTACTGAGATATTTTTTGAAATTGTAACCACAGACCACAGATGCTTCAAGTAAAGGCAAACCTATCGCATATCTATTTTTCGTTATACACATCAATTTGTTTCGTTACATGACCTTTCGGAAAGTATTGAACAATTCATAGAAAATGCGGTAAAGTTACTCTCCTTAAGGCGAAAACCTTTTTCTCATTTTTTAACTAACGTCTTAAAAATCGTTTCTTGCGTTTCTTTCTATTTCTAGTTCGAAAGCGGAACGAAGTCCTAAATCTTACCCAAAGGATTTTCTTCCATTTTTTCGTATGTCGGTCATGATTATTACAAGTTTACTGAACACATTCAGACAATTATAAAGTATAGTGTTATTGTAACGGTAGCTGTAATTTTGGCATTACATTTTTTCAAAATTTTGTCATGGAGTTAGATAGAATCTTTTAGTTTTTGGAGATTTGGGTAAATTTTTATGTAGTGGTTTAGAGGCTGTCCTGATTGTACAAATACAACCTACGAAGATGCACGCATTTTGGAGGGTTGGCAATCGCGCAATTTTTAGGAGGGGAAAGGCTGTCTGCGCCATCTCGGGGATACCATTGGTGGCTACGTTTGGCATCTTGGGATCAACTTTCTTCATGAAAGCCTCGTGCAGTTTAAGTTTGTTAAAATTTGTGCGTTTTTTAAAGCAGGCTCTTTGCATTTCCTTATCATGTATGTGTGTTTTGTGTTTCAATCTTTGTTTTTAAAGCTGACTTGATTTTACCTCATTGTAAATTCATGTGTTTAATTCCTTTTGTGTGAAATAGTTAACGTTTTTTGTGAAATGTTTGCTCAAACTAAATTAATAAATTTTCATCATTACTTTAAACATGTTTAAACATCGAATTGCTGGAAGATTGATGTATGTATGATCTTCTTGTTTGCAAACTAGCCTTTTGGCCTTAAAGAAACGGACACAGTGGTGATAAATAGCATGTATATAACATGATAGTGACGACACCTAATGCTGGGACTGTTCTCGACTCAACTATAGGCTGGGAAACCCCGAACGAGGGCCCATAATTTTCTATCTATCTCAGGGGCGAGATTCTGCTAACAAAAACTCTTCGATTTAGAATCTATGCACGATATATGAGTTGCGTTTAACTGATTTCCACATATTTTGTTTTCAACATTGAATTTTCCATACAAGGTGGTGTAATTTTCCATCTTATTTTATTAATAAAAGGATTTTATTGCACTCTTTCTTATAATTTTTGCTACCTGCTTAGGTATCCAAAACTTGTTTTAAAAGTTGACTGCAATCCACTTAGATTTATTGATTAAAGGTCAATATTGTTGAATATTTTGCACTTGACATTCTATCAATAAATTATTTTTCATATGTACTATTTTACCATTTGTGTTGTTAATGTTAACTAACTTAATGCTCCTTGCGGGTAATAATAAATATTAATATTTAACGGGGTGATTTATTTTGAATATGTAGTGATAACCTACTCGTTTTTGAAAGCTGGACTTGGTCCTTACAAGTAAAAGTGCAAATAAGCCACTTGACACGCCAGAAATATGTTTATGGGTACGTACTTGTTTGTATGTGTCTTAGAAAAAAGCCACATTGCTGATACCCTATTACCTATCGATTCTTTTAGTTGTTCCCTGGCGACACTCGCCATTCCGCCACCACGTCTCGAACTTCAGACACCTGCATTACTTATCTTGCACGTGGCGTTGTTTATTGCAAAACCAATTAATTTTTGAACGAAAAGACCTGACCAGATTAATCTTATACATTACGATTAAATTTCTATTACCTGTTTCCTTGTTTATGCGTTTTAAACTTATCATACAAACTAAATACAAGAAAAAGAATTAAATGAATTAAACTATTACTGACCATATTTACAATAAATAACTAACATTAATCTGACAATTTAACAAAATTTTCTAATTGTGTGTCCATTTGAAATAAAATTTCCCAGATCATATGAAAGCACTTGAATCATTTTACATAGAGAATGTCCCAACTGCTATTTCCAATACTTATAATATGCACTTTATTTAAACAAAGATTTTATGACAATTTATAACATATCGGGACATTCATTTCACGTTGAATTAATGATTCAGAGAATGTTGTTAAGAAATCTCAGTAATGCGTTCTAAATCTTCATTTAGAAGATCTGTTGCATACCGAAATCGACCAAAATGTGAATTGTCGGTGAAAGGGACGTCGGAAGTGGGTACCGACAAAAGGAATGTGGTAGACATGACAAGATATTACAGATGGGTTTTCGCTCTCATCTTCGGCATTGTTTTAACCATCTTTCTTCAGTTTGTTAACCTTCTCTTTCACTTCACACTACGAAAATTTATTTGTGTTCTTTGTAATGGCAGATTATTATTTATTTGAAGGATATATCATTCCATTGGCACAGTTTTATTCTTTTCTAAAAGCCCATTCTTGTAATTGTGGCATAATTTACTGAAAATTCTTATTTTCCTTTGGGTAACTCCGTTTTTTTTACTACAATTTCGGGTGCAACCCACATGTAAAATATTGCAAATATCATACGCAACAAACGGTTGTTAAAAAGTGATATTGTCTTTTTTTTGTTTTTGGGAATGTTCTAAGAATACTGAAAGAAGATTTATAAGAGAATGGTTCTATGGAGGTTCTAAGGATTCTATTGGTCCTGGAGATTTCAAATATCAAACAGTTCTTAAAGATTCTAAGGCTTTAAGAGTATGCTTTAAGGGAAGTTAAGGAATTATTAAATAAATACAATGGTCCTAAAAGATTCTGATTTCTGTGGGATTTTAAACAGATTCTAAAGAAATTAGAGAACGAAAACTCCAAGGCAAGGACATAAAATTCTAGATTTTATTTAATAATGAAGAATTCCGCATAATACAATAGCATCAAACGTTAGAGTGTACACATGAAAATCATTGACGACCAAGCGAATTTTCCTATGCCCTTCCATGTTTTACTACAAAACAAAACTTTCAGGTGTTGTCTCGAGATTTGAACAGCATTGCATTGTTTCTATTAGCAAAAAATCAAGATATAGATTTTCTTCAGGTCACAAAAGCAGGGGTTTGGAGGTATGACCACGATTTTAGCATTTCTTGGCACCCAAATAAGTGAAAAACTGTTGTGTTGTTCCATTGTAAAGTAAGTATAATTACGCGATTTATTTACTTTCAATTAGCTAACAATAAATTTATATCAGTCTTGTAATAGATTAATTTATAACAGTTAATTAGTATTTCTCACTCACAATTTATAGCATAAACAATAGCGTATCGATGTTGAAACTGACTCGAAACACACTGCGGTCTTTCTCGAACGTTTCTGAACGCTCTCGAATGTTCTAAAACAAAGACGTCGTATTTCTCGGCAAGAATGCATCACATCCGCAATAGTTTCTTATCGCCAATGACTAATCTTTCATGAGTTTTCAATCGGAAGAATATTTTTCCTAAGTTGCATGGAGTTTTACGGACGTAAGTCTTTAAAGACCTTAATACTAACGAAATAAGTAGTCTAAAATTGTGAAATTCAACTTGCATGTTAATTTTAATTTAATTCCGAATGCTCTTTGTGAATCAATAGGTACCACACCTACAAAATGCACCTGAAACCATCGCATGTCCTGAATTGTTGAAAAGTAAGAATTTGTTATGAAATAACCAAAGCCCAATTACGTAAATTACGTGAAAAGGTCGCCCTGGTTATCGACTTACAGGCACCTAAATACTAATAAAGGTGAACAAAGTTAGTTTCTGTATGAACAGGATATCCGCAACAATTGTGCAGCAAAGTTATAATGCTCCCGTATATATCGGACCTTTCATCTATTCTCTTGTTGCAGTTAAAACCCACGCTTTTCCAGCATCCGATAATTTAGATTTGTAATGTCAGAAGCGCTCCCGAACTCGTTTTATTTGTTTAACAACTTCGCAACTTTTGGATGTCAGTCAGAGATACACGGTCGCATTAATTACCTACTGTTCCAGTGGTGCCATACACGTACAGCAGACAGTGAGTGCCTTCTGTAAAATTTGAATAATTAGGACAAGGTAATAGGAAACGATAACGCGCCAAATCCTTCAGGAAGCATTAAAACGCGGGAATTGCCCGGATTATTCCTTCAGGGATTAAGGAAATTTTTCATCGGATATCCCGGAAAAGCTTAGCAGCATCTGGATGAGATTTGCTTCATTCAATTTACATTAAAAATTTTACATACGTTTCCAGAAATGGCGTTCGAAAGAATTATTTACAACCTGCAGTCGCAATAAAACCAATATATAAACAATTTATGAGCGAAACGTAAAAGCGCTGTTTTCCAATTTACTGCGCCTCTATAAAACAAAACAATAAATATGAAGATTATAAAATGTTTATTTTTTCCAGACACTCTCCGCAATGCATTCGAAATAAGGCAGGAAAAGAATGGGAGCCCCGAAAACAGATCAGCGTCGATCATGCGTTCGTCCTCCACATTTAGATATACTGTAAGTAACATAAATTTGGCCTTGTTGGGCTTATCCTTAATTTAGTGTTGGTGCGTGCAGCAAGAAAAAGGGGCGTCCTTGTTTACAAATGATAAATGCCGAAATTCATTTTCATCCCCACTTCTCTGCAAGGGTCAAACTTTGTTTAGATTAATGTCATTTGAATAAATCGCGTGATTTTCAGATAGAATGCAACCACTTGTTTGATTAACGCACGCAAATTTTTTCAGATGGCTGCCCCGAACGGCAATGCGTTCCGTAGAAGGTGACCCATCGGATTGCGTACTAGTGGTTGGGGTATCTCGCCCCAAAATGGCCGCAGCAATTCTAGTCGTGATGCTATTATCTCTCTTCCTAACCTTTCACATGCTATACGATAGCGCTCTTCACACCTTTCAAGCTTCAAGTATCGAACGTCCTCGTCCACCCCTACTTCTGCTATCAAGACGACTGTATCCAACGGCCGCACGACGACTACCCCAAGCTATCATAATTGGTGTTCGAAAGTGTGGCACGAGAGCGCTACTCGAAATGCTATACCTACATCCGATGGTCCAAAAGGCGGCTGGAGAGGTTCATTTTTTTGACAGGGACGAAAACTATAACAGGGGTCTCGAATGGTACCGAATGAAAATGCCGCATTCGTATCAGGGTCAAATTACTATTGAAAAAAGTCCGAGCTACTTCGTTACACCTGAGGTAACATTTTTTTTTATTTACGCAGACTGTTACCCCATATTATTTAAGTTATCTAGCAGTTGCTTCACACGACATCCGCACTCGCTAAATTATCGTACATTGCACGCAATTTGCCTGATTCCCTGTTATTAAACTGTAGGGCTCTTGCTGAACTAAGTTGGTGTTGATAGCCCAAATTTGTTTTTACTTCGCTACCATAAATTTTAAGGGTGATGCGTTCTTAGCCCTTAACAGCGAATTAAAGATTGAGAAGTTCAAACTACCTGTCGGTGTTTGTAACAAGTTTTCTACAGAAATAAGTCAATTTCCAAGTCAATGGCATGCATAATTTAAGCTAGTGCTTTTTTACAAGATTAATTACAGTGTACTATGTCATACGAAAATTAAATGACTATTGAATAATTTATGCAGGTTTTATCTTTGATCTTGTAACAATCTCATTCTGGCGCTTGTACACACGAAAAATGTAAATACGTCGCAGTTTCTTTTTGCGCGTTCGCATTCGTACGAATGAAAAAAGTTGGTAAATCATTTTGGACTTATCTCCAAGTCCATTGCTTAATGTGTCCTTTAATCATTCCAACCTTACCCTTTTACAAACGATGCTCTCATATCTACGTCTCTTTCAATTCACTTTACAAAACGTACCTACCTTAATTTCGTAATTACATGTTTTACTTAATTAAGAAAATGCCGTGCGGGACGGCCTAATTTGAAGCAAATGAAAATATCGTTCGTTTGCTACCCTCATTAGGTACCTTCATGCTAAACATTTGGCATTGCAGTTAATTCTTGTCAAAATACAGTCAAGTGGCGAAAAAGCAATGTGCCAGTCCCTTCAGTCGCATCTTTAAAAATTTGCTGTAAACGATGTCACCCTTATTTCCCAGAGGCTCTGATGTCAAGTTAGCAATAACATAATCATTTCGACCTAAGATAGAAGTTTTATGTTTTGTAAAGGTGATATCGAACAAATTGATTGACTTTATTTATTAACAACGCCATGTGCGAGATAACGAAGCGGTGTTTCGAGAACCCCCGAGGAACAACGATATGGAATAGATGAGCGGAGGTGGGGTAGTACGATACAGGAATAAATATGCAAAAATATTCATATGGTAGGGTAAATCTTATTTAGGCATGTATGGACCTTAATTACACCAAATATGGTGAAATATTCATATATGGTTCCTTAAATAACCCCAAAAAGGTTGTTGCACATACATAAAATGCCCCTAAATTCAATTAGTTCGCCCCTTTAGGATTCCACCCGAAAAATAAACAACTTTGAAACTATTACCAAAATCCAAAAGCGTTATTTATGTGTAAATGTAATATCAATCACAATTGATGTCAATCATGTCCAAACAACCCCAGAATTGGTGTTGTCTGGCCTATTACAGCAAAACGAGTTTAAAAAATATTTAAAAACCACGAATTACATCATAAATTTTAGTTTTATTTGTCCCGATATTTAACGGTTGATATATGAATCGATTTAGTACCAAGAATAATAGTAAATAAATTAGCGTTCAAGTAAACCCCAATAACTCGATATTTAAGGAGTGATACGTTTAGATTCAACCACCACAAATGACGTAATTAGTGTTCAAACAACCCCTAAATTCGACTTATACATCTCCATTACGTGTACCAAAGGCAAACGACAAATATGAAAATTAGGCATATTTGCATAACATTTATTGATGATTTTTAAGAGGTGATACGTGTATATTCCCCAACAATTACAAATTACATAATTAATTTAAAAAACCAGTGTGTTTTTATACGTCTCCATTACATTTAACAAAGAAAAAGACATTTGAAAACTACTTTAAAAAAATTGGGCATACTGGTTTTTATAGTGTATAGTTCAGGCCTGATATACAGATGCAATCCCAATCGGAAATGATACAATTAGTATTCAATCAACCCCCAAATTGAATTTGCACACCTCCATTGCGTTTACCAAGGAAAAGCGATAACTTAGTAAAGCTTACAAAGTTTGTTGGGACTGACTGCCCGTAATTTAGCGTAAACAAGTGTACATACTTTTCAACCGTAGTGGAATCTCAGCTGCCGCCCCGATCTCGTTATCCCCAATATTAAAAAAACACCACTTCCAATATAAAATAAACTCCTTTAAAAAATGTTCAACTAATTTCCCAATCACAACGGATTGGGCCAAACGTCCCCACTTCCCCAAATGAAGACGTAAATTGAATGGATTACAACAGCGATTACATTAAAAAATTAAAATTAATTTCTAAGAAGAAAAAGAAATACTGAAACACAAATTCAAATAAAACCAACCAACTCTGTGTTTATTTCGTAAAGAATCCCCCATATTTATTTAAGTTCAAATATTTTCATATACAGGATGCCCTGTCATAAGTTTTGCATGAAGTTTTTTGCACAACAATGTTGCTGTGTGCAATGGCGTTCGTCAACTACACCACCCACAAAAACCTGACCAACATGCTCAAATAAATTGAAACTGAAACTGAATTTTTTATGATCTCTCCTCGTATATCTCCAGCACTTGCTACAAAACAAAATACTAATAATGAATCGAAATTAGTAATTTAGGAGACTCAGTAGCTTCAACCACAAATTTTGTTTAAACCCTGAGATAAATCCCAATGGACCCAAAAAAATCTGAACATGAGATTTGGATCGTAAAATGGATTCAAATACATACACAATTAATTGTTGGACACTGACAAAGGAATTTATTTTGGAACTCAAACGCAATAAATAATCCACGTACGAGATCGACCCAAATTATTAAATAAAGGAAGCTTTAAAATTACTTACTGTTTTTCAAATAATAATCTCTGGTCGATATGCGATAAAGCACTCGCAGAAAGCTTCAGGAAACTTCACCATTTTTCTACTCCATTGAAGCAATGATAACAAAAACTGAAATAATCAACACAATTACTAATATTCAATGCGATGGCTGTTCACGAGACTAACTTAATTGTATCTGCAGAGATTATTTTGAATATGACTAACCCTATAGCAGCACAGTTTCGTATAAAAAGTAGATTTGTAGACTAAAACCCTACGTATATAATACGCATGTATAGTGGGTTGGGTGGTAGATCAGCATGTGCCTGAAAAAAAAATACAATTTAAACAATCCGGGGTTTGGCATAATTGGAAATGGCACAGCAATTTCGTTAACAGCAAAGTCTTTATTAAGTAGCAAGATGTATATACAATAAACGCATTTTAAGTGTTTTTTCTTTTAATTTCTTTCTTGCTTATAAAATGATACCTCTATCTGTCTGTTAGGTCAGGGACTGTTAACACAGAGGGTGGTTTCGGTAAATGAGTAAATATTACGTAGATATTAAATTTTAATGAGGAACTTGCACATTGACCCTTTCAAACTCCTTAAAGTTAAAACTATCGATGTTTATATTCCTACTATTGAAACCGCAGTTTAAAATGTGAACAATTACGTCTTATGTCGAATTTCTCTGAACATTTTTCCGTGCATCCCTACGCTGCTAAAAGATGCATGTGTAACTTTCACGGCAGAGGTTTGCGTGAAATTTCAATTTTTAATGAAATGACGAATCCGCTCTCAATACCCAAAGGTTTTCCAGTTCTCAGGTATTGAAATGGTCGATGCATTATTAACGCGAGAAGTACCGCACGCAAATAAAAATGTCGAGACCCAAGAAAGGAGCCTAATTAGAATTTTTTGCGTTTACTCATCCATTAGTTAATAGCTTACTTTATCCAAAATTAATGAGAGCAGAAGCTTAATACGTGTAATTATTGTTATCGTTCGAATCTGTAGTCAAGGGAAGAATATACAGACCTTGCCTAAAAATTTAATTATCTTTGATGTTAAATTGTGTACATAATTAAGGGCACACCTTTTTGATAATGTTCCAATTTAATAATGAATCCTAAAATTTTGACTCTATACATGTGGTATCGGACTATTAGTGACCGCATTTAGAAAAATTTTATTTATTCCTTTTAAAGGTTTTCTTAATGCTGGAGCTAGTTTGACAGTGCTGCTGGTGGTTTTAGTGCACATTTTATTTGGTGCTCAACGTGGACCACATATTTGATTTATACCACCGTCACATTATACAAGGGTGAATTTATTCCAATAAATTTCACGAAATAATGAAGGTATTTACAAAATGTATAACTTTACGTCATTAAATGCAAATTGTTGGTTGTTTAATAAAACATAAACGAAAGGCAAAAATATAACGATGTTTGGGGGTTATTCGTGTGAAATGCGATCAGCCCTCAATGATGCATAAAAAATTTAACGAGCGAAATAAAGCGCCAGGCTTCCGATTTCTAATTATGGTAGCAAGCTAAAAAAGTTATTAACCTCGTAGTCGCAAAAATTACTCCTCGGGGTTGAAGGTACAGAAGAAGTGTATAAAAGCGAGTGACTTGCTTTTATACTGTGCAATACAAGTGAACTAGGGAACAAGGGATTTGTCACAAAAAAGGAGTACATATTTGAAACTGTCCCATATGCATATGCCCTCAGGGCTCCCAGTTTCTTCAAGAAGGGCCCACGGATTCAAGTTGCACCTGAAGGCTGTGGAAGGCCATCATCTTCTGCTAAAACTGTGTGTACGGTTCCTTATAAACTTGTAGGTTGACGATTGACTTTAGGAGGTTGGTAGCCCCCCCTTCGATAAATTAATAATTATCAAATGTTCCCACAGCAACCCACGCCGAACGAAAAACTTTAATAATTATAACTACAAAGCACGATTGGCAATAAGAAACTTCCACGCTTCCTTCGTTAAATTCGTAACAATTTCCGGCAATTCTCTCTGCCGTAATTTATAATCACTTAGTTTTGCGATATCTAGGCGAAAAGCTGCGCACGTTTTATTTTTATCCTACTACAAGTAGTATAGCAGCGAGGATAAATTCTTTTCATCATTGTGTGACAGGACGGTAATTTAATTGAGTTTTCTTGAGAGAATAGCGTCGGCGGTAAATTACTTTTATGAATAAGTGGGTTTTTCTTTTTTTTTAATTCGGCCGCCGCTCTCCAAAATTATTATTTAAGCATCTCACGCCTTATGTAAAGAAAGGTTAAATGAATTTTACTTTAATAACAGAAAGTGAGGCCCGTCGTAAAATGGTAACTATTTACGGTGTGCGTTACTTGAAGGATTACGTGATATAACTTCTTAAAGACCTTTTCCATGCTTGCGTGCCAAGATTGACCTTTTTCGGGTATTATTGTCGTCGGGGCAGTTTCTTAATTTATCAATTACTTCGGATGTGTGCTTTAAGTACAAACGAAAAAGCATTCACAGATCATTTTGTCATTCAATGTTCAATAATTATGATGACAATCTCAAACTATATGGAAAAACTAAACGCCTAAGCCCTTTTTATAAAACAAAACGCTTGCTGTTCGAGCCAAATTCACGCTGGCACGAGCCAACATCCTCATGTGCATTTAATTTATGCCATTCATCTTACAAATCCATTGAAAATGGCCAAAAGAACGGTGTCGATATTCCGGGGCATGTCGCACTAACACAAAAAACAACGATCAGATGTTTCTTACATTCTAACACGCAATTTTTACATCTGATAAAATTTAAATAAGACATTATGCAATTAAAAACAACTCTAAACTGGAAAAATAGACACTAAAATAACTTCCAATTAAATAAACCAATTCTGTGCTTATTTATAATCAGAGCTGGGCAGTATTCGATTTTGTAAATACTTTTTAGTATTCAAATACTATAAGAAAATTTTTTTCCGGGTCGATCTGCGACAATTTTTTTTCGGCGCTCAAAAAAAGGCAGTGTATAACCTTCCTTTTTTACCAAAAATCGACTACACCAAAATTTCTCGGGAAAACACTTTTTCTTATTATTTTTGGTGCGTAGAATCCAAAACAATTCGTACTTTTTCGATTAGACTTCTCAATCAAAGGTTATGGGACTAGAAACCAATTTCGAAAGAAAATTAAAAGGGCTGTAACGTTTGAACTAGTAGCCCAATCTTGGAACTGTTTGAAATTATGGATTCTACAGGCCACATTCTATAAGAAAATTTTTTTCCGGGTCGATCTGAGACAATTTTTTTTTTCGGGCCTCAAAAAAAGGCAGTGTATAACCTTCCTTTTTTACCAAAAATCGACTACACCAAAATTTCTCGGGAAGACACTTTTTCTTATTAATTTTGGTGCGTAGAATCCAAAACAATCCGTACTTTTTCGATTAGACTTCTCAATCAAAAGTTATGGACTAGAAACCAATTTCGATAGAAAATTCAAAGGGCTGTAACTTCTAGTAGCCCAATCTTCAAACTGTTTTAAATTATGGATTCTACGGGCCAAATTCTATAAGAAAATGTTTTTTCCCGGTCGATCTCAGACATTTTTCTTTCCGGCCTCAAAAAAAGGCAGTACTTTTAAGTTATTTAAATATTTGAGAACAATTTAGAAATGTTTAGGGAAAGTTTCCATTGTCACAAAATCAAATATAAAAATCCGATACAACTGAATACAGAACGATCCTGGAGTGAAACTTTTTGACTGAATAGTCTACGTAAAAAAACAATAGGAACCTTTCTTATATCCTTAAGACCATTGTGTACCAATTTTCAAAGCGATCGCACGTTTCTAAACAGACTATCGTGCACACGGACAAACGGATGGTCAAAAATGGATCTGTGCCAAAATTGCTAGGATTAATTTCAGAAAGGCGTACGTATCATGTGCACGACGTACGATCGCTTTGAAAACTGGTACACGTATTCTTAAGGATATAACTGGTATAAGAAAGGTCCTGGTAGGTACCTCCTATATAATAATATAATAATAATATTACGCTTTTACTCCCCTTAAATTTGTATATAACAATAGAAATATAAAAAAGCTAACCCCATACAAAATATAACTTGATTTTTTAAGTAGTATTAAGACTAATTTTAAACTTATTTTAAACTACTTATTTTTAAATACTATTTTACATTTTTAATGTATTTGAGTGACAATTATTTGAATACTTTTTACTGTATTCGAATACTTTTCAAAGTATTCGAATACCTTTGATAGTATTAGAATACTTTTGAAAGTATTCGAATACTTATGAAAGTATACTTATGAAAGTATTCGAATACATTCTAAAGTATTTGAATACTTATTTTTTTAAGTATTTGAATACTTTTCAATGTATCTGTATCTAGTATTCGCTTGTGCTGGACGTAAAAGTATTTAGTATTCAAATACCTTTGATTTGTGTAAAGTATTTAATATTTAGTATTCAAATAATTTTTGAAAGTATTCTGCCCAGCTCTGTTTATAATGAAATTCTTCAGAATTAAATTAAGTTAAAACATTCGCATAATATACAAGATGACCCGTTATTATCTGATGAAACGAAATTCATTGAGAAAAAAACTTAATACGAAATTTAGGGGTTTCGTCACCTCGCTGCCGGATTAAGTTCAGTGGTAAGGAATTAATGTGAAAATCATCAAAATTTCAAACGGGTTCCTATGGTTGGTGGTAAATCAAAAACTGTATAAGGAAAGAAAATTTGTGACGCATGGGAATGACAGGATGCGCTGTAAATATAACTAGAGCACAGTCTAGTGGAAATTCCAACATTATAGACCTAAGCTCATTTGTTAACAATTATAGTAGCCTCAATTTCAAGCGAGACTGCCCCCTTTTTCCCACCATATAGGTGGTGTACATCCGACAATGGCGCAAAACCGACCCTCGCAAGTAATTTACTTAATCTTCCTCTAATGGAACAGACCCAATTCGTATATACAGCGAAGCATTCACAAACTGAATTAATTAAGCTCGAAAGGGTGCCTCATGATAAACTTTCAAAGCGCCACCTGTTGGTTGGATCCGCAGCGTAAAAAAAGATTTACGCAAGTTATGGGCAATTCACGTTAGGAATTTAATCAGTGTCACCCAATTGATCTCGTCCCTACAGTCTCCATAATTGAATGCTCAAATCCATTCCCTTATTTTCCGCATTCCTGCAATAAACGTAACATTTTCCAGAGTGTGTTATGTAACAAAATTTTTCATTTAAACTTTCCTCATTCGGGCGTAATTTATGTGACCTTTAATGCACCTAAAGCTTCCCTTACATTCAGTCGTTTGTGGTCTTTCTGGTAATAAATCAGTGTTATTTGCTAGGAGAATGTATTTTTGTATTAAAAGTTGGGCAATCGTAAAATAAAAGTTAGGGCATCAATTTTTGCACAGATTTATTAGCCTTGTAAACATTAAGCGGAGTACTTCAATTTAATGGTGTTTTGCTTGTGGAGGAAGCCTCGGCTAAAAGCTCAATTTCCGCAACGTATGTATCTCGCTGATCGGAAATTTGTAGTAAGAAATACGAGATGAATCTAATTACTTTGTTTTGTTATAGGTACCAGAAAGGATAAGGGCGATGAACGCGAGCGTGAAACTTATATTAATAGTTAGGGAGCCGGTAACGAGAGCAATTTCGGACTATACGCAATTAAGGACTCACGCCGCGACGGCATCGACGGTAACTCCAAGTTCGTCATCTCAGCGAGCCTTTGAGCAGCTTGCGTTGATGTCAAACGGATCTATAAACGAGCAGTACAGACCTCTGGCTATCTCGATATATCACAACTACGTTCACAGATGGTTAGAAGTTTTCCCGAGGGAACAAATCCTAGTCGTTAACGGAGATTTACTAATAGAAGATCCGGTGCCCCAGTTACAGAAGATTGAGAAATTTCTCGGGCTGGAATCCCGAATAGGAACGCATAATTTTTATTTCAACGAAACCAAGGGGTTTTATTGTTTAAGAAACGAGACTTCCGACAGGTGCTTGCGAGAGAGTAAAGGCAGGCGACATCCCAGAGTCGATCCATTTGTTGTTTCCAAACTGAGAAGGTATTTCGGCGAGCATAATCAGAAATTTTACGAACTAATTGGGGAAGATCTGGGATGGCCCGAGGAGTAACCTTAGTTCTCATTTAGTACCCGTACTTAAATTTTTTATCGCACTGGGTCATGCATACTGATTTCTCTTATTATCCCCACGCGGACGTTTTTCGGTTGCGTGATTAAGTTTTCCGCTGGCATGTCTACCGGTAGTACAACATCATTGGTAAGTATTTAAGATAAATTACGCCAAAAATCCCGAGCGCGCAACGATTTAGGTACTGCTTCCTTAGCGTTTAGATCGTGTTATCAAATGGGACTAGTAGAAAATTTAGATGTAGCTGTAAGTGAAATTATCACCTTTAATTATTTATTTATTTACGTTAAGGAAATCGAGCAATTTGTCAACTTGAAGGAAGTGTTAGGGCGGAAATTGCATTTCCTATCGTAAACACTCGCAGAAAGCAACAAGAAACATTTAGTTTTAAATGAAATCGCTCAGATGGAAACAAGCCGCGCTTTATTTTATTCTCCAGGAAATTCACAATTTTTTTCCTTCTCTTCTCCAATAGTATGCCTTGCAGTATTTGCATTTTTTCCCCGTTAATGAAATTCTCTTCGTGCTCATTAAGTACGTTTACTATTTGAATTGAAAATTAGTGCAGGGCAAAAAGAGGTTACAGCACAAATGACTTGGAACTCAAATATTAATTAATTCAGGTATACATTTTGACATACATTCGCCGTTTGCAAAAAACATCGGCACAAGTCAAATAATGAAATTACATACCGAATATCTTTATTTTATCCCTTAATTCAGTTCAGGCGAAGGAAAATCTAACCAAAGGGTGCAAAAAACGAAAGAATCTCCACCCCAAGACCATGAAAATTAATCTCCAGTGTGACAAGCGCGGAAAAATTGCGATGTAATACAGTACGACCGCATTAGAAGTGTCTTTGGAATTCGAATATTACATTACCTCTTTTCTGAAGCGATTTTGCCAGGGACCCTGACCGGACCGAAATAGAACCGTAAACCGGACCGAAACCGGTATTGAGAACCGGAACCCTTATTATTTTTGTCGGTTCTTTTCGGTTGTTTACGGCTCATAACATGTTCTTAGAAGTTGAAGGAGAACCGGCAAACACGTCCTGAAAATTGTTAAATATTACTCTATGATTGCCATAGGTAGATTATAAATTTTTAATAAGATGGCGAAATTGAAGGCAGCACAGGTGGCGGTGACTGTAATTTAGGCACTACTGTAAACATAAATAATAAAAGGTGGAGCGAGGTTTTAGAAAATAAAAATAAAAAACATACTCCATACATAATTTTTTGACACAAGTTTTTGGTGTATTTTTTTTGTTTTGTATGAATACATAATAATAATTTTTAAAAAATGAAAAAAGGTTTTCGTCATAAGACGGTCAATTTATGTATACAAAGGGAAATAAAATATAGCCTCAATATTTTTATAAATAAAAAATTGCGCATACGCACACTTGATTTTTAAAATTTGCGATATGTTTGCCTTTACTAGAAGCATCTATGGTTAAAACTTCAAAAAAATATAGCCTTAAATAAGAGAGTGGACATTGCCCAGTTTGCGCAGGCACACATCTGATTTTTACAATATGCGATATGCTTGTCTGTACTATAAGAAGCATCTGTGTTCAGATTTCAAAAAGATATTCCTATAAATAAGGAAGTGAGAAAGTGGCCATAATAGCGCGGGGTGGGGGCCAGAGCGGTTTAATACTTGTAGACCTATACACTTGTAATGGAAAACAATTGAATTTTTTTAATAGCAATGTACCCTTTCATTGGGCTCATTTGATAGAGATTTTTTTTCTCTTTTCAATGACGTAACATGTTAGCACCCTTATGCAAGGAATTAGATTTTTTTTCACGCTTCTCGTGATAGTGATATTTAATGGCGAACGTTTTGAACCATTTTACTGGTAACGTCTTCAAGGTTTAATAAGAAACATACACGTTCATCTGTTTTATTTTCATGTAGGATATCTAGATTAATGTTATTGATTTAACCGCTTAATAAAGAATTATTAAACTTTTTTGAAAAATTATGTGAAGTAAAGTCATCGAAAACAAAAAAAACTACCAAATGAGCCTAATTAAGATTTATTTTTGATTAAACAAATTCAATTATTTTACGTTACTAATTTGTTTTCTGCAATAGAAACAACTGAACGCTGCCTTAGTATGGGAAATAAATTATTAAACAACTGTCATAATAGTGAGCACCCTGTATGTATCCTGGACGTTCTTTATGTAGATAGCATTTCCCGAAATTAAAAAATAAAATACCACCTAATTTCAAGGGGTATTATTAGTATCCCCGATTGCAATTTCTGAAATTAACGACACTACAAGCGTCTTCTTTAAATTTTGAATTTTGAAAGTGCTAAAATTGCAAATTGTTTGGGCAACTGCAGGAAAAAGTTCACTTTTACGTTGACAAAATTGGAGATATTGGAATTGCGGACTTCCAGAATCTTTAAAACCTAATTTCGTAATTAAAAAGTATCAATTTTACCTACTCCTGGGAAGGTTTTTTTTTTTTTAAGATTATACGTTTTCTTTGTTTTCTTAAAAGCTACTATTTTTTTCTCCGCAGTTTTTTTTTATAAAATGCATACTTTTCGAATTTTTCGCGAATAACCAATTAAAAACATTGATCTTTTCTATGAAAAACTCATACTCGCGAATAACTTTCCGAAAAAAAGAATGGAACACCTTTTGCTTAAAATTAATGTTTCTATCTATTCCTGTGCTAACATTACAAATAAAAAATTACCACCCCCGAGATGGGGTGGCAACCACACCCAGGGTGAAAGCGCCCTTTGGCATGAGATAGATGTTGATCCTTAGGCTATTCCCTACCTACTGTCAAAATTTCAAGTTAATTGATTCATTTTGAAAAAATTGCCAGAGCAAAACCTTCATTTCCTCGACTAAACGTTGATATTTCAAATTCTATTCCTTTGGACAGAAATCATTTAAGTTCATTAATGCATGAGAAGATTTTGAAATCATAAAATTGCTAAACATTCACGCCGCAGCATGGTTCCAACAAGGTTTTTGGTATTTCGAGATTATCATCTACAATAAGAATATCAAACAATCTTAATAAGAGTTTTTCACGTTTCTAGATTCTAAACCACAGTTTCCCAGTATAAAGGAACCGGAAAAATAATTTTTTCCAATACCTACATTGGATTATTGAATTTAATCCCAATTTTTTTTGCATTAACAGGTAAAAAAATTTCAAATCCCTCATTTTTGTTTTTTTTGTGAACAATTCATGGAAAAATGGATTTAAATCGGTCGGTATTGGACAAAATAGTATAAGCAACACTGGATTAAACTAGTTTTTGTTCCCTTAAGAATCGGCTTCTCTCAGGAACAAAAACTCTTTTTAATCCCTTGTTACTTTTTGAAATTTTGTATTAAATATGAAATTTCAAATTGATTTTAGAGAAGTGAATAATGGGAGATACTTTTATATTAACAAAATGGTAATTTAGCTTCTAAAATTCCTTAGGTTTCTGCTGTTCTCAGGCATAAACTTCAACTTATGGATTTTAAGGGACCGAAAATGTTTATGCCTCAAACTTTAATATGTTAAAGTTGTTATTGTCATTCTTGGTAATCGAAAAGATCTCTGAGAATTTAGAAATTTCCAGAATTTTTATATTGCAGTACAAATAGCAATATAAAATCATGTTTCATAAGGCTTTTGGTGTCCTCGAGTTATAAAACGTGGATTTTCCCACAGATATTAACATCGATTGGTAACAAATACCAAATTAAAATGATTCTGCTGCAGAAGCTTCAATTACAAATCGACTAGCGAGTGGTTATACGATTTTAAGCACAAAACACTTCCTTCCCGTTCTCAATTAATCGCCTTTTTACTTTTCGCAGAGCACCTGTTTGCAACTAATACATATCAATGAAGTATTCAATGACCTAGCTTAGGTTAGATCATATTGATCAGTGCCTTATTTTAGTTAAAACTCTAATCCACATTGGACGTTGTTGAAATCTACTAGATTTCTGCGCAACATACTTGTAAATGTGATACCCTTTGGTTTTATATACGAAAATTGCAAATTACCTCATTTATCGATCGCATCTATATGGATAGGGAATTTTTGACGCAGGGGGAAAAATTGCCACGGACCCCTTACTATGTTTGCGCAGAAAAATTTAAGTAATCTAATATAAAGCAAAGGATAACAGTTTTTTGTTAAAATTCCTGGGCAATATTATAGATGCACAAATATTTATATATTTACAATGGGGGAATAAAAGCAATATTATTTTTAAGTATGAGAATATTTTTACGAGGGATACAATGTAGTTAAGTAGAAAAGCTTCGCCATATCAACTAACATATCCTTATCTAAACGTCTACATATCATCTCATTTAGGGTATCTTAACTGTTAAGTCAAATGTATTGCATACATATCAAAGTTAAGACAAAACTAAGAATTAATACATATCAAAATGTGATTTAATATACATATTACGTCTTTAATATTAATGTACCGCTGTTTTGAATTTTTTTTTATAAATTATTGTATGTAAGTCTGTTGTCATTGTGAGCATGTGATTGTCATATATGCTATTCTATAGAAAATATTTTTTAACTCTTACAAATGTTCTACGAAGTAAGTCTACGTACCAATTTGTGCTGTTGTAGAGTAGCTTCCAAATTTGGTTACAAACACTTCCATAAGAAAAGTTATTTATATATAAAGTACGCCTTTTGACAATTTCTTCAACTCGCTGTCTTTAAACCAAATAGTAAATCTATTTTCTCATTTTACCTGTACTTCTCTAATTAAGTAACTTTTAAATGTTATACTGAATGTTGTATATGCTACTAGACTTTAAAAAATGTTATTTCATCCTTGATGGTAGGTAATTAATAGTGTTCTGTTGTTTCTCTTAAACTCATAGCTGCTAGATGAATAAAACACACCAGTATTCTATTACAAATACAATAACTACAAAAGAATTTATAGTTAATAAACATGTTACCTAAACGTAGTTAAGAAACGATATTTTTGTTAAAGTCTGTTGGGCCAGAGAATGTTAGATAATATAAATCTTTACAATTTACTTAGTAATGTTACGTAATAGTTATATCATCGAACAGAGGTTTCTTAGATGAACTGTAAAAATCTATATTCGTTATTAAGTTGACATTTAAATGTAATTTATAGTATATTTTCACTGTTAAATATACGCACCTAAATTATTAACACTTACTAGGGGTATTGTTTAGTTACAGCGTTTCCTTGCATTGAGAAATCAAAATAGTAACGTGCAAATTACACGGTATGTGAATGGCATTGATGAAATAAAATACTATGTATTTGTGGAGAAATAAATGTTTTAATAATTTTAATTTTTCCTTTTTTTTTATAACATTAATAATGTTCAACATATCTTAGCTTTAGATATTTTAATATTCAGTCAAAATTTTTCCTTAATTTTCCCGGCTTGTAATGTCGGATATTTTAAATAAATTTGTATTGTTGTTGTTTTGTATACTCCCGTTGTATACGTAACTTTTATATATGATTTGTTTTAGAGAGGTGTCATTGAACGCTCGCTAAATATCTACGAAGACACCCACCCGCTTGTGGTTGATGCCTAGGGGGGTCCGGATCAGCATAGTATCCCTAATACTGCCGATAATAAATTGTTTCTTTTGCTTTCAGACGGAATGTGGTTACCCTTATAAGTGCAAACCATTTAGCCTGGTCCCACGACTCAGAACCAAGCTTTGTTACTGCTTCAATGCTTCTATAACCTCAACTTCACATTTGAGCACATCAGAAAAGTACTAAGAAGCCCTGCACTTAAAGTTTATGAACTGTTTCAACTTCTGACGTTTCAACATCTTAAATTTGCACATACTTCTCACTGGATTTTAAGAGTTTCAGCATTATTTTGTTTGTGAAATTTTGTGATATAAGGATTTCAATTGAATCTCAAAAGCTTTATAAGTTGAATTCGAGACTTTCTTGTCACTCTTTGAAATTTAACGCGAAAATTCTTTAACGTGTTGTTTTTTATGGGTGCACTAAAACAGATAATGGCATTTCTGTTAAGGATTGCCAATTTGTTAGGTCCGGTTATTCAAAATGATCTATTCACTATTTTGTTGAAGTTTCGGGAACATTTGGTATTTTCCCCGCCACATTATTAAGTTATACTACGCGCAGGTTGCGATTAGAAGCCCGTTTTCCAAAGGAACACAGGGCAATGTTTGTATAGAGCTTTCAATATTCAAAATTTTCATTTTTAAATTTTTAGGAATCGTCATCCAAACGCGGTTTGGCATCTTGAATTTTCACTATTGGTGACATTCGAGATTTATCGTCTTCAATTCCTAAAAAATCTGTTTTATGAAAGAGTAAATCAAATGGTTTGAGCCTGGGTTTGAGGCAGCTAAACCTGCCTAAAAATTAAATTACACGTGTTAATTTTGCCTTCCATTTTTAGGATTTACTGAATGTCGTGAAAAAATTGTATTTTTTTATTAATTTTTTGATAACTTACCAGATTACTGTCTAATGATTGCCATCACATAGCTATATTCTGTAGAGATTGTGTGGTAGGTATACAGTTTGGGTAGTTATTCTGATGTTAGGTTCGAAGTAAAATGGATTAATATAACATCATTACTATAGTAACACCGTTTTACTTATAAAGTAATAAAGTATTGTTCCAGTTAGTCTCAATTTTCGCATCTAGAAACATTATTTTCAATATGGTTGCCAAATTGGGCACATAATTAGGCAAAAATAGTTAATATATAAAGGTTTCGAAATTAAAAAGGAACATTAATTTACCGTTTTGGTAGCTGTTGGGCACCGTAAGTTACGAAACCCCGAAATAACAGCATAGGGCACCTCTTTTAACAGTAAAAAATCAATTTTTCCAGGTTCAAGCTTGTGTTACTTATGTTTACAACAAAATAATCTTCAAATTTACAATTATGGCCAGCAAAGAAAGAAAAAGGATCATAAAAGGGAAAATACACGCCTACAATATGTTTGTAAAACACTCACCCTATATGTACCCTTGTCACTGGCACTAATTAACTCCCTCAAGGATTTATTAAATACGGAATAGCGCATACTTTGATAAGTAAATTTTAATAGAGAAAGTGCAATGCGTATTTGTAAACAAGCCACACGTGGTAGACTAGAGCAAATCTAAAGTAATTTTACCGTAATTTTTACCCATGCGGTAAATAATGAGTATATTTAATCAACAAATGTCAAAAGCGTTTTATGAAGTAGTTTTTTGGGTTCTCAAACAACAGTTAGATAGGAGTACACTTTTCAAAGCGAAGTATTCAACATTTTTTATAACTAGGTACACTGGTTACTTTCTGATTTTTTTTTAATAATTGATCATGAACAATTGTGGTGCTGAATATTCCTTTGATTTAATGCGTGATCAGTCTAGGTATATACCGCCATGTATAATATAAGTTCTGTTCCATGAATAATTATGTTTACAACATTTTTCGTACCTAAAAGTGTAAAAGTGTAAAATATATTTCATAAACTATAGAAAGTACACCCAGCTGATACTCAATTTATTTTTCTCGTTTTTCTTTTTTACGTAACGCAATGACATTCAGAAATTCAGTGCAATAAATAAACGAAAGATTAAAATGGGCATGTCATTTATCCTAAAATACCTCCAATGATTTTCTATGTTGAAAATATCACCACTCAGTTTAAATAATTCCACAATAAATTCCTTTGTTATAATTTATTCATCAAATCGATGTTTTCGAACAATAACATTAATTAAACAAATTTACAGAATAAATTCTAAATTTTCGAATAATGCAACACCTAACTATACTCATAAATAGCTTATACTATATTTTGTGTATAAAAAATTATAAAGGATCAAAGTTAGTTACAACTAAAAAGCTGAGATAAGTAAAGCTTTTAGAGATTTGTATAAAATGAACAATTAAAGCAATAATTACCAGATCAAACTCATATTATACCTACAGTTGAGATACCTTAAGTCGACGTTTTGAGAACATTATCATAAAATTGACCTACCACTAATCAACACGTAAGCATAAATTTAAGCAGAGTTCACAAATATACACAGAATTAACAACAACCCTACAATCTAACATTTACATTGTGGAGATAAAAGATTAGCTAATAAAAACGTATACATCACCATTATGAAATGTCAATCTTTCTCTATACATTCATTGCTTAAACTGAGAACTAGGAACGACCACAGTAAAATGGGTAAAAATTCTAAATTAATAAGTTATAATATGTAGAGTTCTACTAAATGCATTGCCCGAGAGATCTATAGTGATTTCAGCCTTTTTGATCACAATATAATCTAAAGACCCTTACTATGTGCTTTATACGGTTTTTGTACAAAACTTTTACCGCCATTTCAATTTACATTATTAACGACGAGCTACAATTGCATTATTTACAAAAAATTAAACAAAAATAATACTAAATCTAGTAGTATTAACGGATGAATAATAAATAACATACTAAAACGTATTTACTCAAATAAACTGTTTAAAAACAATTTTAACGGATTTATAAAAGCGTCTTTGGTAAAATAATCAAGGATCCCACGTTTATTTAGATTTTTGAGTATTAAATGTAACAGAGTCCTTTGAAAAACTACAATACTCCCGCTGATATCGTCGCCAATCTTGAAAAAAAAGTTAGTAGCTTTTCTGAAGCCCTTTTAATACTTTAAATAATTATGTACAACATAAATAACTACAGAACTCATCACCTGAGTTCACGTTTTGCATAGTGATGAATACTGACAATGACTAGTTTTAAATAACTAAAAAAGTTATTGTATAGGCAAAGGTGCTTGCGCACTCCTTGTTCGGTTAATGCCCCTTTGTTTCATAAGCAAGTCAATTTTTTCTTTTGAAAGTCCCGTTCGTTGCGCTGCCTTCCGCCTCGATTTATTAGCGACGCAGTAGCTGTGCTTTTTCCAATTAGGAACGTCAACCCCTAAGTGATTACATTCCCTAGCGTACGCCATGAGACTTTCGCAGTAGCATCTTCCACTGGGACACTCGCACATATCCATCATGCACGCCTTGTAATACTTATTATAATTAAGTTTAGAATCACAACCATTAAACAGATCCGTGCTGGTTAGATACTTGCAAGGATTCTTGTCGACTCGTTTCGCCTTGCACGGTCGAATCTTCGACGTTTGCTTCGCGTACTTGGCGCACACCGCCTTCGAGCCGACGCACCACGATGCCCCAAACATTAAAATGTCCGATTCCTTAACAACTGGTCCTTTCCGCAGCTTCAGGTCGTCCTGCACGTTATTGTTGAAATTTCCGCAAAGTCCGCACAGTTTGTTCTTGTACGAGGCCGGAACGGTTAGCTCCAAGAAACTTTTGCCAGTCCACAAGATCCGAACCCCATTCAGTAGGTCGATGACCAAGTGGTCCTTAAATTTCTCGATCTGCAACTTCTGCTCGATCTTGTAGGGAAGGTCGACCTTTTGCCCATTTATTTTCGTCCTCAAGTTTTGGCCGAGATTTATTCGCATTTTACCCGACTTGATCGCGACGCGTTTCGTTAACGTGGAGGTTTTTGAGTTTTTGTTCTGGTAAACATTGGCGACCCTTATTGAGAAGTTGTGGTGCTCGCAATCCGCCACAAATTGGTACCTCCCGACGCCTTGAAAGCTGTAGATTTTCCCATCGAAGGTTTTGTAGTGCGGATCCCCAAAGGCCATGCAAACGCCTTCGCCTGCGAATGAAGGGATTAGTCGATGAAGGTGGAGTGGAGTGAACGCTTACTTTCTTCGCAGCGTCCGCAGCACTCGCCGGGAGGGTGAACGAGGCGGGAACCTGGGGGACACGGTAAGGTAACGTTGCACCTCGTCATCGCACAGCTGGGCATCCCCTGGGCGCACTTACACGAACTGCAAGCATCTAGTTTCCAAGATTGACCATCCTGCCTGACACAATGAAATTAGATTAAGGATTTGTTAAAGAAATGTGACCTAACATCCTTGTACGCTCAGGTTAAACAAACAACACGTCAAATAAACAATATTTATACGACGACGGATGTAAATTCAAAGATATTATAGATAGTAGGACCTTGCAGGCGCGGATATACGATTTTAAAGAACCTTGAGCGTTTGATAGAAACTAATAATTAGATAATCTTAGAAGGTCGCAAGCTTGTAATTAAATAGGAACTCGCCTCATATACGACTCCGCCGTAGCTACACTGCATACGAAACTCTTCGGGAAAGACGCACTCTTTGCAGCAGTTTCCCGGACGCTTCTGCTGAAACTCGTGGGCGCAGTTTAGGATTGGGCACGAGTCGCGATGGCACACCGAGGTTTCGTTTATGCAGCTGCACTTCGTGCATCTTTCCATGTCGAATCTCTCGCCGTCGCGATGAAATCGGCTGCCCAATGTGCACGTTTTCGGATAGGTGTAGAGGCTTCTTGTTCCGGTGCACTTAGGGCAACACTCCCCTGGGGGTTGGTGCTGACGATCGGCGCTACACTGCAAAACGGGACATGCTTTCTTTGAGCACGTTAGCCTTCCGTCGTTGCATCGACATTTGAGACATGGGTCGTCGGATGTCACGTCCCTGTCGTCGGTTGCCGTTTGTCCATTGATTTTGCAATCTGAAAGAATGATGAGTTTAGTAACAACGAATTTTTTGAATATTGGTGAATTTTTTGGATTTTAAAATGTTTCTTCGACATCACTTCCCTTTTTCTGCTTTTTTAAGGCGCATGATCAGGAATTATTATAAAAATGGTGTGATATCCTATACAAAATAGCATAATATAACAATTGGAAAAGGTCAATCTCCGACATTTTTGATCGATTTATGGATCATTGTAGAATTTAGGGTCCTTTTGTTACAAATACGTTTGATGACCTTAATAGCTATTTATGTATCAAGGGCATTTTAAGGCGATATTTATGACGAGGGCGACAGAGCCCGAGGGTTTGTAAGTCGCCAAAGGGTTAAATAGCCAGTAATGCCCGAGGTGCATACAAAATTTTATTTTTCATCGTTCCAAATAATGCATTTCCAATATACTTACTATGTAATGATTATTGTTTGCCCAACATTAAAATGCTTCATACGAATAGCAATAACTCCGTCAATATATTTAACAGGCCGTTTGAGGGCACATTGAGATGACAATCCATTATGTCCTCTCATTATGCCTTCGGGCGTCATAGACTGCTTTACATATTTCATATGGCAGATATAATTGGCATATAATAGGCAAATAAAAAATAAATGTCTTTACTTTTGTGAGATCTATGACAACCTCTCCACTCTTACACTTGAAGAAAAATCGGTCCAGAAGCCTTGGTAGAAGTAATAACCAGCCAATTTTCTGTTTTTTTAAAATAGGCCATTAAATCATACGATAAAAAAAGAAAAGTATCATTTGGGGCAATTATTTATAGGAGAGGAGCTACAATCAAATTCGGGTTTAGATTTAGTTATACAATTTTCCATCAACGCATTCATCTGTCTTAATTTAACAAGGTGTGTACATTTTTGGTTACCAAAAAAAGGGTCACCTTTGATTTTCTTTTAGGATTTTAATTTTAGGTTCAAATCCTAGATTGAATTGTAATTAGCAGTTTAAAAGACCACCTTCAGCTTAGGAGATGCTTTAAGTGCCTACTTTTTTGGTAAATTTATTTAATTTTAAACTTTCAGTAAGATACCGTAGAAGTAAATTTTCGTGGCCCACTGAACAGTTTCCGTGACCTACCAATATTCTGTCTTTTGTACGTGGTCCCCAAGAAATAGGGGGCCATACGGCCCCCGTTGAGAAACACTGGAGTAGACCACCACTTCCTTCTGAAGAGGTTGGTCGATTAAGTACCGTGTCTGTGAAAGAAACTTACTGCGATTAAAGTAAGGCCCTTCGGGCATTGGTCAATTAATTGTGTACCGAGCTCTTTGGCTTGGAAGGTTTTCTTTTGTTTGCATGTTTTGGATCCGAAACTGAGCTCACTTCTTGAGGTCGACATCTCATTTAAATTAAGGTAAGGGCTGCCGTTTTACTTGTACTTGGCCCTTGACTTGGTCTATACCTACGTGCGAATCCGGTATATCGGTTTCTTTGTAGAAACTTGTTTAATGATCCAGTAATCAATTTAATCGATCATTCTCGATTGGAGTTTTGTTAAACTGGGAGATTTGAATTGTAAAGTCCGAATTGGGAGATTTCATTCCGACTAATTGGATAAGTATAATTAAGGATTCACATTTAAATGAGTTACAAAAAATCCGATTGAAGAAGCGCTCTTAAAAAACGTAAAGTTTGATATCGGTGCCATATTTTTTCGATGTCGGGGAAAGCAGTAATTAATTAAAAACGTTTTGTTTTGAACGTGAAAGGATTTTGAATTTTCGAATCCAGGTGTACGTGGGAGGTTGGAGTTCCATTTCATTTGAATATCCCAAAAATTGGAACAGCAGAAAATTTGGTTTGAAACATTACCTGATGATCTGACGTGAAGTTTTAGTACCTACGGTTTCCTCTTAACGATTCTAAATCAATCTCTGGGTTCAAAAATGTTGCTCCCATTCACTCAATAATAATCATTCATAGACTGATAGGAAAGTTAACTATTGCAGAACGAATGCAATGTCTGACCTGTACTGGAATGTGGTAGCTCCCGTTGACATTAAAGGATCCAAATTTCCCGTTTTAATAAAGCGACCTTTAAACGTGGAAAGAGTGTAAGCAAAAACGTGTCGCATGTACAATGCCGCACATTCTAGAAAGTGGACCCGTTTTAAGATTGAGAAATTTGGTACGGCTACAGATGTGAAGAAAATGTTGAAGGTAATTTGGAACGTCCTTCACCGATAAAATTTTAACTACCAGCAATAAATTAGAGGAGTTAAATAATTCTATTTAGACTTGGAATACACACTTATAACCTGTTATAGCTCGAGGCGAATCTTTATAAAGATAAAATATGATGAAAAACTTTCACCTCAGTTGTTCCTTTTTTTTTCGATTTTAATTCCTCGACCGATGATATATGGCATAATTAATTACCGGTTTCTATTTATTGTTTAACATAACGCTTTTCGTTAACACAACTGGACTATAATTCAAGAATTTATTAGATCAAATTTCCAGGACGGAATTCAACTTGTTATTCGAATGGTATAATTAATATTAGGAGTGGTTTCTTTTTACGGAGAGGGTCATGCGGTGAGAATTGAAGAAACTGCGGCCACACACACAAACCACTTAATCACGGCCATACATCTCTAACTAACTATTCATTAGCGAGCAGTAATGATGTTTATTGTAGAGTGTATCGAAACAAAATCTTCAGAATTTTATAACTTCATTAAGAGAACGAAACGAAAATTACTACCTTTCAGAATAGAAGATATCCTTTCAGTTATTCGCGATTCCCGCTGGAAGCTAATTGGCTTTATTAAAAATTTAAATTTGGTATCGAAAGGAAAAAAAAGAGGAAAATTGTCCTTACTCGCTTTGAATAATAATGTCGAGCAGAAGCTGAAAGCCGAGGAATATTTTTAACAGTAGTTCCAACATGTCACTTTAAAATGACAATGAAGGATGGCGTATAGAGGATTTTAACTTAAGTAATTTTATACAGCAAATGTTTGCTTTACGGATTAGAAGTTATGGGCTACTTTGCAATGCTCCTTTCTCGTAAGGGTTTAAGAAACTTTGAAGCACTCGCAGTTAACGATAATTTATTATTATCCATAAAGTTTGGACGTTCCTTTTGTAATATTTTAAATTTCTTATAACTCGGATATTTCGTTATGTGACAGTGTATATTTTGAATACTTTCCCATTTACGTAATGTAATTAAAATTTTAATTAAATAATTTTTACCTTATATTTCACGTTGGCCGCCGTGAAACTTATGTAACCGCTTCTCAATTTTTATGTTGATAAGCTTCGGCAGACGTTTAGTAAGGAGCTTTTTACCAATTACGAGTTCAACCATGTAAGAACAATTACAAGTTAAGCAAACATTCAAAATTTAGATTATTGTATGCAGATTGTAAAAATCCCAATATTGAGAAACGGGGTGGATTCTACAGGCCGCATTCTATAAGAAATTTTTTTTCTGGGTCGATCTGAGACAATTTTTTTTTCGGGCCTCAAAAAAAGGCAGTGTACAACCTTCCTTTTTTACCAAAAATAGACAGCATCAAAATTTCTCGGGAAAACACTTTTTCTTATTAATTTTGGGTGCGTAGAATCCAAAACAATTCATACTTTTTCGATCAGACTTCTCAATCAAAAGTTATAGACTAGAAACCAATTTCGAAAAAAAATTCAAAGGGCTGTAACTTTTGAGCTAGTAGCCCAATCTTGGAACTGTTTGAAATTATGGATTCTACAGGCCACATTCTATAAGAAAATTTTTTTCCGGGTCGATCTGAGACAATTTTTTTTTCGGGCCTCAAAAAAAAGGCAGTGTATAACCTTCCTTTTTTACCAAAAATCGACTACACCAAAATTTCTCGGGAAAACACTTTTTCTTATTAATTTTGGTGTGTAGAATCCAAAACAATTCGTACTTTTTCGATCAGACTTCTCAATCAAAAGTTATAGACTAGAAACCAATTTCGAAAGAAAAAAAATTTCAAAGGGCTTGTAGACTTTTGAACTAGTAGCCCCATCTTGAACTGGTTTTGAAATTATAGATCTAAAGGCCGTGCAATTCTATAAGAAAATTTTTTTTTGCCGGTCGATCTGAGCCATATTCCTTTTTCGGGCCTCAACAAAAAGGCAGTGTACAACCTTTCGTTTACCCAAAAATCGATCTGCTACCAAAAGAATTCCGGGAAAACACTTTTTCTTATTAATTTTGTGGTAGAATCCAAAAACAATTCGTACGTTTTTCGGATCAGACTTCTCAAATCAAAAGTTTATAGTGACTAGAAACTTCAATTCGAAAGAAAATTCAAAGGGCTGTAACTTTTGAACTAGTAGCCCCCAATCTTGTCAACGAGTGTTGAAATAGAGATTTCACAGGCCACATCTCTAATAAGAAAAACTTTTTTTTTCTCGGGTCGATCTGAGACAAGATTTTTTCTTTCGGTGGCTCAAAAAAAGGCAGTGTATTACCTCCTTTATACCGAAAATCGACTGCCAACAAATTCTTGGGAAAAAACACTTTTTCTATTAATTTGGTGCGAGATCCTAAAAGCAAGTTCGTAATTTTTCCGATTAGACTTCTCAAGCAAAAGGTTATAGACTAGAAACCAATTTATCGAAAGAAAATCAACAGCTGTAACTTTGAACTAGTAGCCCAATCTTGAACCTGTTGAAAATTATGGGATTCCTACAGGCCACATTCGTATAAGAAATTTTTTTCCGGGCGATCTTAGACAATCTTTCTTTCGGTGGCTCAAAAAAGGCAGTGTGATTACGTTCCTTGTTAAACCAAATCGACTGGCACCAAAATGTTTTGGGAAAACACATTTTCTTATTAATTTGCGCTGCGTAGAACAACAAGTTCGCATTTCTTTCGATTTTAGACTTCTCAATCAAAGGTTCATAGACTAGAACATCGCAATTTCGAAAGAAAATTGCAAAAGGCTGTAACGTTTGAACTAGTAGCTCATATTTGAGATAACGGGTGTGGCCTGCCGATTGCAACTGTCCCAAAAAATCTTCCAGAGAATTTATTACTCCATTTTGTATTAACACATGATATAAATCTAGGCACGAAAATGTAAAAAATCTGACAATGCAACATGTCTATCCTGGTCGCACAATGGTTCGAAAAAGCACACAATTAATTGATTGACAATGACAAAATGTTTTCCGACGCACAAAAAGAATTAAAACGTAAATTTCCTGGAAAGAAGGAAAGAGGCTACGAAACGCTTGTTGCGAATAAAAAATTGTTGTAATGGTTGAAATCGCTTCTCAACAGTTTCGAAATTTAAATGCATATAGACTAACTAAAGTGAGGATAACATACCTGAACACGTAGGACAACAACATTTCCCTTGCTCGGCGTGGTTGTGGAATTTGCACAAGGGTGTGAGAGCAGTTGCACTGTTCGAGTACCGTTACAACACCCTTCTCGCATACGCATTACTTATCAGGATCCTTCCGTCCCCGTCCATCCGTGTGACTCTCGGATGCACCGCCGTTGGTAGCTATGCACAGTCCCTGAAAAAATAAAAAGACGCCGTTCACGAAAAGCGAAATTACGAACCTGTCTACTCGAGCGACCCAATTATCGCTGTGTTGCCATTTTCGCAAATTTACGAAAAAAAGCGCATGAGGAAATACGAACACAAATAGAGCGAAACTAAAAGAAAAGTGAAAGGGAACGGGATAGGTACCTTCGAGCTCATTGATTGCTCCTAGAATTAATTCATGTTCTTTCTCTTATCTTACAAGGGACTAAAGGCTTTATTAGTGCTGTCCGTTAAAGCCCTTTGTTTTTGTCTATTTTCATGCAATATCAACGGTTCTGCTGATTAATGTCCGCCGTTGCGGAAAAGCTGACAAATGCTTCGATTACATAATTTAAACAATTTAAAGAGAATCCCTGAGAAGTAGATTTTATTATCGTCGTAATAATTGGAGAAGGAAAATAACGAAGGCCGAGTTCCATCATACAATTTATTTGCATACGTTTAAAGCCAGTATGGAAGGGATAATTTTCCGATCGTTTCGGACGAGGTCGATACGAAACATGGTTCTCCTGTGTGCGTTTATCGCAATTTCAACTTATACAAAATGCTAAGATAACGGATGGACATCTAATACAACTCTTTTTATAGGCACCCCGAGATAAAAGCGAACGAGAAACGTTTGGATTGAATAACAAAGGAGAAACTTGAACATGACTATGTAAATAATGTGTGCAGGTATAGTTAGTGTAAAACTTGAATTGATACTGCTTTCGCCAAGGCAAGATCACGTTGAAGTAGGTAAATAAGCTGTAATGCAGCAAATTAGTCTTACATGTATAGACATATACTGTTCCCACTATTGCCGAAGGTGGTCGTAGACCACAAAAAGTACGTTAAACAGAAGCAAGTTCTGGAAAACGACTAGTAAATTTGCATTTTTTGGTTCCGCGCTCGAAACAATTAGCAATTTCTGCCACTGAAAACGGAATATCTCAGAAAACCTACCTAAAGTTTTTCAGCGGCATTTCACGATCAATTCCAAATAAGTAGGTAAGGTAATAGTCATCATTTATAAAAAATGTTGACAAATCTTTGTTGGAAATAGAGGGACATAGTTGTAAGAGAGTTACATTCTCTCTCAACAT